TGAAGTCTAGATGGGTTACGTCATGATGAGGTCTAGTTGGGTTAGGTGGTGATGAGGTCTAGTTGGGTTAGGTGGTGATGAGGTCTAGTTGACTTATATCATGAGGTCTGCTTGGGTTATATCATGATGAGGTTTAGTTGACTTATATCGTGATGAAGTCTAGATGGGTTACGTCATGATGAGGTCTAGTTGGGTTGGGTGATGATGAGGTTTAGTTGACTTATATCGTGATGAAGTCTGTATGGGTTATGTCATGATGACCTTCCTTGGGTTGGGTCCTGATGAGGTGGAGTTGGGTTACTTTATGGCGAGGTCACATTGGTGTAGGTCGTGCTGAACTCTAGTTGAGTGAATAGTATGTAGCACAGACACAATGCAGTGACAGCATGTGAGCAAGCATGTGGCACCCATGCATGCAAGGACTGGAACCCTGATTGTTATCACCTCCTCATTTAGGTGATGTTTGCCGAGCACCAGGAACATCCCTGCCAGCAGCAAAGTTCTCATTTTCTTGAGCAAAGCAGAGTAAGGTCCACCTGTGCTCTTTTCCACAGAGCTTCTCTTGTCTGTGTTTACACCTTCACCATGGGTCACAGTGTGACCCTCTCCGTCAGTCCCATCGAGTGTGGAATCTTCCCTGCTTCCCGAGTCTTTCAGGGCGTAATTGCCTGAATTCCGAGAGTGGCAATTTGTCATTTTGTGTGACAGTTGGATACAAGGCCACTTATTTAAAAAAATTTTTTTTTCAACGTTTTTTATTTATTTTTGGGACAGAGAGAGACAGAGCATGAACGGGGGAGGGGCAGAGAGAGAGGGAGACACAGAATCGGAAACAGGCTCCAGGCTCCGAGCCATCAGCCCAGGGCCTGACGCGGGGCTCGACCTCACGGACCGCGAGATCGTGACCTGGCTGAAGTCGGACGCTTAACCGACTGCGCCACCCAGGCGCCCCACAAGGCCACTTAATGAAATACCGTCATCGGACACTTTAACACAAATGTCGTATTAAGTAAAAAAGAAGACGTGTGTATATTCACAAATTTCAAATTTGCTAATCCTGCGTCTGCTAATGTTTAGAGAATAATCAATTACTTGCTAAAAAACTGAAAGCAGAACTTGGGTTTAAGTCAAGCACGTTAATATTGCTGTACATCCATTAATTAGTTTCTCCCCTGCTCACAATATCTTAGTTATTATTGTTTCAGAACACTATTTTGGTGGAAGATGTTTGTTCCTAAGTCTTCATGACCAGCCATCTAAGGCGGAGACCAAGGGCCAGTAAATATTCTTTCTGTGATGGGCCAGATAACAAATATTTCCGTAGGTGTGTTTCTCCCCGATCAGTTCCGCCTTCATAACAACAAAGTGGTCACTGCCAGTATTTAAAGCTACAGGCATAGCTGTTGTTCCACTATTTTTTTTTTTTTCCTTTTTACAACAAGGGGACCTTCAGATTTGGCCCTAGGCTCATAGTCTGCTGACCTTGGTTTAGGCTCAACATCTTACAAAACCCCACACAAACAGATGGAAGTTACATTGCGTCTTGTAGACTCTCGAAATACGGTGGATAGGATGCCGTCCAAAGAGAGGGAAGTGACTCAGTGCCTTGTCGACATTATGGGTAGGACGTCTGTGGGACGCGTGGCACGTGGAAAACTTAGCCCTCCAGAGGAAGGACTTGTAGACGGCAGACCCACTGTGTCTGTGCCCAGTAGCATCCTGGTCGAATTCTATCTGTTTTGCGATGTGTGCTCAGTAAACGTAGGAAAGACCTTTACCAAAAACGTGCCTGAGAAAGCGAGGCACGACCAGTCATGACCAGTTCCCCCTGCTGGTCGACGGCCCTCCTTTCTCTGGCCCTTTCTGTCTTTTTCGGGAACGTAGAGGTTCTATCCCTTTCCTGCCAGCTTCCACTGGACCGCCCCTTAATGCCAAGATGGCGAATGCCAGAAGCTTGGGCCCAGCAGCAGGTGGCTGTTTAATATTTAACAATCGCATGGGATTTCACAAGTGAGCTCCCGTACGCATGTGTGCAAACAGCACACAGAAATGCCTCTGAAAAGGATGGCTTGGTGATCTATTCTCATTGCGATTTTCAAGATGGTTCTAGCCCGGAGCACACCCAGCCGGCAGGGGTGGGACCCGGGTGAGAAGGTGGTAGGAGCTAGCCCCCTCCCTTGGGACATGCTGGACCCGGGCCACCTGGCCATGCTAAAGGCTCTAGAAGCTTCACGCCCACACCTGTGTTCCTCAGATGCCAGGTCTAATCCCCTTCTGTGGAAGCGCTCCCATGACTCACCCCTGCAGGGACTTTCTGGGTTAGCTCATCCCTCCAAGGAGCTGAAAATCTGTCTCTGGTCCAGTTGCTTGTGAGCGCTGGTGTGTGGGCAGGCAGGGTCTCCCGAGCATCTCCCCCACAACAGCAGCCCCATCAGGCACCCCTTAATAGCAGGACTCTGTGCTTAGGGACATCCAGAAAATAGTAGTACCCCAGCCTGCAACTGTCAGTACACATTTACTTAGGAAGACAGTGAAGAAGCCTTATTCACTATTTTAATCCCAAATTTCATAGTCTGTAATTAAAAAAATTGTTTTGTTTTTTATTTTTAATTTATTTTTAGTTTTCTTAACATTTATTTATTTTTGAGACAGAGAGAGAGACAGAGCATGAGCAGGGGAGGGGCAGAGAGAGAGGGAGTCACAGAATCGGAAGCAGGCTCCAGGCTCCGAGCTGTCAGCACAGAGCCGGACGGGGGGCTCGAACTCACAAACCGTGAGATCATGACCTGAGCTGAAGTCAGACACTTAACTGACTGAGCCACCCAGGCGCCCCTCAGTTATTTTTTAAGTAGGCTCCCCCGGGGACTTGAACTCACAACCCTGAGATTAAGAGTGGCATGGCCCACGGATGAGCTGGCCATGGCCCCGTGTTGTCCGTATTTCAGCCATGACACCCCTCACACACAAAATACGTGCCGCAACCCTTCTACACTCACGTTCGGGAAAACCACACCTGCCGAGTTTTCACGGAGTCACCGATAAGGAAATGGGAAATCCCACGTACGTAGCGGGCACATCCCATGATCAGTTTTACAGATCACACCACCAATGAGTGGACGGCCGCTGGGGTGGTTCAGTCGGTTGAGCGTCTGACTCTTGATTTCAGCTCTAGGTCAAGATCTCGCAGTTCATGAGTTCGACCGCCAAGTTGGGCTCTGCACTGACCACGGAGCCTGCTTGGGATTGTCTCTCTCTCTCTCTCTCTCTGCTCCTCTCCCTGGCTCTCCCCGCCCACCCCCTGCCCGCCCCAGCAAAAAAAAAAAAAAAATGTTTCTTAGAAAGTTGTATTTCTGATTTCTGCTCTGTCCTTCCCGTCAACATTTCTATGCCTACGTGATTCTTGGCTTGCCCCCAACCCCTGACGGCATGCGTTGAACCACCAGGCACCCCACGCCCCTGTAATCACCATTAAGGAAGATGTCAAACAAATGCGTGCACCTTGTCCATCCAGGGTGAAGGAGAGGCTTCCTCAGTTGGTAGGTTGACTTGGCGGGAAGGGATCCACAAGCCCATTCGGCACCAGGGCAAGAAGAGAAGCCATAAAGAGCCCACCCCAGGGCTGAGTTTTGCGTCTCAAGACAACATTATCTCGTGCTCGGTTGCACCTGGACAGCCTTCCCACTGCTTATATCTTTTCTTTTCCTTTTAGCCGGAAACAATGACAGCAAAGCCCAAGACGTTGTGCGGAGACTAAAAGAGGAGACGTTGAATGACAAAGGTACTTCTCGTAGCCCAACGGCTCTTTGCCTTGGTCCGAGTTGGTGTTTGTGGCTGAGCTGCAGACCCGGGCATGGGATTGGGGGTGCGGGGGTTGGAGGTGACTCGGGGCTGGGGGATGTCTCTCCCTCCTGCGCGTTTCCTTTGGGGATTTCCGGTCGCCACTGGAGAGTGACGAAGGACGGCAAACGTTTCACCCGTGGTCGCGTTGCTCTGTGTAGGCAGCTCCTGCGGACGCGTTGGAAGATGCTGGTCGGTTGCATCCTTGTGACTTGGGGACCTTGTTGTCATTCTGCGTCCGTCTTCTCTGCACATGTCTTCTGTATGTTGAGATTCGGGTGTGGATGTGGAAAGCCAGAGTGTTCAGGGGACAGCACTCGGTCAGCTCCTCTGTGCTGGAGGGGAGGCCGCCCAGGGTGTTGGAATGGGCGAGGCAATGATTCCAAATCACCCAGGATGGTGCGGTCACTTCCGAGAGCAGGCGCAACCCTGCCCTCAAAGCTGATGGGTACTCCAAGTGGGAACTGATTCATAGTGTTTGTGGTCTCCACGATGACTGAATGTGTCTGTAGGGTGGGCGGTGGAGGAAAGTGGTCTGAGCCAGACACACACACACTCAGAAACACACAAACACACACACTTTATGCGTTAATCTTGTGTGTGTTGAATCAGATAAGAAAGCAACACCATATGAGTTTTATAACATACGAAGCTGGACCCTTGGAAGGAGTCGGTCAGCGGAGGGCCTCCCAACATGTCAGGGGGAGGATGCTGGGGCTTGGCCATGTGGGGGCAGTTGGGTGGTAGTCCTTGAACAGACTTTCACTTTGGCTGGATCTGCATCCAGTCTCAGAGGCCCCCAGAGATGCTGTCCATGCAGCCCGGGGCCATTCCCTGCCCTGTAGGTCAGCAGGTACACCAGCAGCTCCCGCCAGTGGCTGGCCCCAGCTCCCTATCCCTGGGTGGCCATCCACCCACGATGTACCATCCATCCATCCCCCATCCATCCCCCATCCATCCCCCTATCCATCCATGCATCCATCCATCCATCCATCCACCCACCTATCCATCCATCCATCCACCCATCCATCCCCCTATCCATCCATCCATCCACACATCCATTCACTCATCCACCCACCCATCCATCCATCCATCCCCCCATCCATCCATCCATCCATCCATCCATCCATCCATCCATCGTCTTCCTGCAATCACAGAACACCCTGTCTAGCTCAGGATGCTCTCCAGCACTGAGCTCAGATGGAGACACTTCTCTCCAGGCCAGCCTGCACCCACTGGAGCCTGCGAAATTCTTGCCCACACACTGCCAGTAACACGAGTTGGCATGAGGCCCATGGGAACCACACTTACTCATGGCTTATGGCTCTTCCTTGACTTCCTGCATTGGGTAATTGTGTCTCTGGCAATTTTTTTTTTTTTTTTTTGAGCAAGCAAGCAAGCACACATCTTAACAACATTGCACAGATTACTGTCCAGAGCACAGTGATTTCTCAATACCTAGTTTCTCTCCAGCATACCTCCACCCCTTGTCTGGACTTAATCTAGGAAAAGAAAAATCTAAGTTCTTGGTTGCATGCTTCATCCTCCTTACTCTCCCATACTTTCTGCTTTTGAAGTCATGGACAGTTGAGATCCTACTTTGTGTTGATATGGGAGGCTATCCACATCCCAACCTTCAACTAGCTGAGCTCTTGGAAGGATAAGTTAATGACTGTTTTGAGGAACTGAGATAATAGGGCTCATTTCTCCACCAAGAGATTTTCCAGGGACAAGAGTTTCAATACGTGATCATCATGTAGCCATGGTGCCAATGTCTTTATTGCTCTTGAGTAATACCCTGCTGACCAAAGCTGTCTCATTTGGAGTAAATACTCTTGCTCTGTGACCAAAAAAAAGCAAATAAATGGAATAACATCAGATGGCATAAAATGAAATAAGACAAAAAATAAAAATACAAAACCCAGCACCACCACACAAGCAAACAACAGGAAGTCATAACAGCATCCCAGTGAATCCAAGTGGGATTAGATCATTTAAATCCTCTTAAAAAGACTGCAAGAACGTAATTGTGTTTTGGACATTCGCCGTAGGCTCACACAAGCTGCGGTGGAATCCTAAACCTTTAGCGTAATCCCACTGGAGATACGGTGTCTGTGATCTTTTCCCTAAAAGGCTTTACTTTGTGTTCTTCAGAAATGTCTTCCTGACCAGTTTCCACCTTTCCTAATGCCATTCTGCCAGCATAAATCTCTCTCTGTGTTTAGTGGGAAGAGGGGCCAGCTGTTGGATTCACGGGATACTTAGGTATTACATCCGGTTTGCTTTCCTTAAGAGAAAACAGCGCTCAGTTTTTTTTTATAAGCTTCACCTGTGCCAGGAAAAGTCAGTTGGGTCCACTTCCCGGCGAGATGGCAATACATCTTTGTGAACGCCTGGGTCATCCAACTCACTATAAAATACTTAAAGTGGTCACGGAAGCAAAAGATACCATGACATCAGTTCGGTATTCATTACGGCAACAGGAAATGGCGTCTCTGGGTAGGAATCTACTACTCTGTCATCCAAGAGAGATTCATATCTTGAACGTAGACCTATCTTGAGGCGAGTAGACACCTACCATTTTTCTTCTACTCATAGACTCTCTGATTTTCCGGAAGGATCCTTCTGGAGCTTGGTCCATTGCAAAAAACTTGACTGAGTGTTGATTGCATGGGTTTTGTTTTTCTCCCCACCACGTGTGGTTTTTCTTTATAGCGTAGAGTTCTCAACACCTAATACCTATAGCGTGAAGTGCTTGACGCGCGTTGGCTGGCCGACACTCCCGTGTATTGCCAAGAGTAGTTTAAACAATGTTCTGCGTGTATATTTAGGTCTGGTGTACGTTCAAGACCACCTGTCTTCTCTACATACCATGAAATGGCCCTTATTGTCATGAATTTTTCAAACTAGAGTCCTATTTTTTTTTTTTTTTACCTTTCAATTTTAATTTAGCGTCCTGAGCTAGTCAAGGAGCACGTATGCTAGCTAGCCAGCAACAGCCAGGCAGACAGACAGACTGCTGGTTTCCTGTGGGTAATTAGAAGGCTTTAGAAGGTCACTGTGTCTTTCCTGAAAGCGCAGAAGGAGACGCTCAGCACGTTCTGAAAATTTAATCGGCTATTATAGCTGTCATCTTGTCCCTTACATTAAAGGCTCTTCATTTCCCGGAGTTTGCAACGATCAATTCTAACCTTTTGAACCACTAGCAAGGTGAGTTCTATGAGAGAGGGCGATTGTCTGCCTGATTGCCTTAGCGCCTCTATAAATAACGGCAGGATTTTTTAAAAAATCCCGCAAGGAAGAATTTACCTCCTCACCTTGCCTGCCACATTCTGTGTCTGCCACCAGAAATTTATGGGATACTTTCACTCCCCACAGTGTCATTGGCCATTTAATTTCCCCGTTTGCTTTGGACACATCTTAGATGGTTCCTTTGAACACAGCTCAAGATGCTCCGTGCATCCAAGGTCAGTGATGGGACATCACCCACATGAAACCGTTTCAAAAAAAAAATATTCTAGAAATGTTACTTCTGTGTTTTTCCCTCTGGGGGAAATCAAGTGGATTCTAGGGGATATAGAAAATATAGTCAGAAAGGGCTTTATTTATTTATTTTTTAAAGCGTGCAGTGTTCTCTAAAAGGAATAGCCACATGATTTCCATGATGCGTGGTTTTCAGTAGGCAGAAGCCATTGTGTTAGCGAGGTACAAGTCCATCAGGTGCCCTGTAGATGCTGTAACGCCTTACCGCCAGGAGAGTCCCGGGAAGGTGCTGCAGTGCCTTGGAGATAAGTATTTGTATTTCCTGTATTTTCAGGTTTTATCTTAAAGGCTTTTCTCATGCACCCATGTGGCACTGTCTCCAGAGAGACCATTAACCACGTGTTCTGCTCATCACAAACTTCCGTACCTTTCCTGTGTCGGAAAGTCTCGCCACTTGGCCTGCGTGTTTCGAAAGCTGTTTTCGGTGGATGCAGAATTCCATGTTGAAAACATCCTGCGATGCCCCCAGGATGTTAAAGGTGTTCTGACACAGACCTTTGTCACTTGGGATGAGAAGTCAGCTATAATCATTGTCAATATTTCATGAATATAAGTGTCTTGTCCAGTCTTTTCTGTTGTCTTCTTCATTTACTTTCTGTTTTCAGAAGTTTGTGAATATGCCTAGGTGGGTCCCTTTTTCTCTCTGTGTTTAGCCTGTTTGGGGTTAAAAAGCTTTCTCTATCTGTGTAGTTGGCTGTGATAAAATTTAGAGAATTTTCAGCCATTTTTTTTCCCAAAAAAACTTTCTTCTTTCCATCGTGTCCTTATGGGTCTACGATTACACATACGTTAGGTCGCATCACGCTGTCTGGCCGTTGTATCATCGAGCACAGTTCGTGTTACCCCAGCTTTCAAAAATTTTGCTCTGTGTGTCAGTTTGGATGATTTCTACGGACCTACCTCAAGTTCACCAAATTGTTTTTTCAGCCGTGTGTGTTATACTCTTACTCCCGTGATTGGATTTGTGATTTGAGCCAAACAAACTGTATTTCTCAGCTTTTGGGTTCCAGTTGGTTGTTTTTAGTCTACATATTTTTCCTGGTGTTTCTTGTATCTTCATCCTTGATGTCCATCTGCACTTGTAGGCTCCTTAATACGTAGTAGTTAAAGTTCTCTTCTGAGACTTCTAACATCTGTATCATCTCTGGGTCTGTTTCTATTGATTTTCCCCCTCTTGATGGCAGGTGACTACATGTTTCTTTGTTTTGTTTTGTTTTTTTAATTTTTTAATGTTTATTTTATTTTTGAGAGAGAGAGACAGAAAGAGAGACACAGAGTGTGAGCAGGGAATGGGCAGAGAGAGAGGGAGACACAGAATCCGAAGCAGGCTCCAGGCTTCGAGCTGTCAGCACAGAGCCCGATGCGGGGCTCGAACTCACAAACTGGGAGATCATGACC